CAGACAGTACGCGCTCTGGTGGCCCAGAAGCTAGACACGTTTTTAGAGGAGGCGCTATCAGGGCGAGCTTCATGCAGAGGGATGTAGAGCTGAGGTTTTCAGTAGGACGGGGCAGTGATAAGTGGGTTTTGTGGCGTGAGAGAAGAGGGCATCGTGCCCTACAGCACAGGGTCCCCACTTGGCAAGGTGGCATAGATGGGAAAAAGGGAAGAGGACCTGAGTTAGAGGAATTAAATGAAGAAATCATAAAAAAGAGCTTCATTCCTTCCCTGCCTCGCCTCTGTTTTCTTCTTGCGCAAAATTGAGTTAGGCATCAGAAGGGGTGTGTGTGTGTGTGTGTGTGTGTGCGCCTCGGCTGGACCTGTTTGATTTTTTACTTTGGGGAGGTTTTTTTGCCTTTATAATCTGCAGTTGTCTACTCTGTAAATTTGGAGTGTGACTTCCTGTTTTGTAAGGTGAAGTTCAGTGTGTGCAAGCACTTCAGGAACAAATATAATGTGTAACTGCAAGGCGCTCAAGAGGCAAGCTCTTTGCCCTCCTTCTAAAACTGCAGAGGCAGCCTACACCTGTCCCATATCTGGGTTCAAGGTTCTGCCCTCTGGGGGTGGCAGAGAGGCCTGGGCTGCAGAGCTCCTCCCTGCTGGCCTCCTGGCTGTGCAGAGTGAAGACTTAGCTCACGGGTAGTCCAGCACCTTGGATGGAGGCTCATGTCTGGAGGTCAGACAGAAGAGGTCTGATCATAAGGGGAGGGCTTCCTTCCTGCACCTAACTTGGGGAAGCTTCCTCATGCTTGTCTCAACCCCTCCTTGTCTACCTGAGCCTATTTGAACCCCTGGACTGCTGTCCAAATGTGAAAATAACGCTCCCTCCTGCAAACTTAGAGAAGTTTCAGAGTGAGCAGGGGCCTTTCCCCAGCATTAAGCCTCACACGGGAGACTGAGACCCTCCGGCTGAACCAGTCCTTGGTGGTGAAAGAGTGCCCTCTAGTGGGCATTGCCGGCAGCTGCTCTGGACCCGTGTCGTTCTGCCAAGGACAAAACAGCCCTTCTCACAGCCCTCCTGCCAATGCTCTTGGGCTTTTGAATGTGCCTTTGGGTTTGGTTTGTTTTTCTCCTCTTGTGAAGTAAAAGAAGGAAAGAAGAACAGCTGGAGAGCAGTAGTTAGAGCAGCCCCAACAGTGCTGTGACAGTTCTCTTATCTTGGGAGTTTTTCCAAAGAATTAACCCCCGGGCAAGCAATCAGGCAAGGTGGATGTGACATCAGAAGCTTTTAAAGGGCTTGTGACAATTTCTATATAAATCACTGGCTTGGCCCCTTCCAGGAGGGGTGAGATGATGGGAAGGAAACGCCTTCTTTAAGAATTATTGCCAGATGGGTTCAATATCTTGATGGGCACCTCCTCCGCTGATTTCGAGTCCCCTGGAGTCGATGACATTTTTTGGTGGCGCAAGTGTGCAGGCCTGCTGAGCCATGAAACTCCTACATGCACTGGCAGAAACAGGGCATTGGGCCCTTTAAAACCTGTCTCAGAAAAAGCTGCTGGTCTGAGGAGGAGGGGCAGGGCGCCCATCAGGGAGGCAGAAACCTGATCATTTGTGATGGTTGCTGGATTAGGTAACAGCTCCACTGGCTGAAATTGGATCTTGGGGAATGAGTGTTAACATCTCTGGTGTCCTGGCAAAAGGTTCATCTGAGTCTTGCATGGTGCCGCAGAGATAAAAAGGAGCTTTTAAATAATCATTTTCTCTCCTACTCGCCAGAGTGCTGGCTTCAAGCAATAAATAGGTAGCATCAGTTCTGCTTAGGCACATCACCCTTTGCATTTATTTATTTAATGTTGGTGGAAGATTTTTTTTTTTAACGGACTCACTGCACAGTTTCCCTACCCGTGGGTCAGAACACTCTTGTTGGTAGTGGTACATGCACATTCTCCTGGTTCTGGATTGGAATATGAGCGGTTTTCTTTACTGCGCCACCTCTGCCCCCTCCAAACATACATAGTCCATGTCCCCCAGAACCCCGAGCCTTCTGTGTCAGTGGAAGGTGCAAGTTTTCTTCTAAGGTTTTTTAAAATTTATATTTGTTCTTGCTCATATTCTGGCATTTTCTTTTTCAGTGATTTGAGTATGACTTAAACAGTTTAAACACACAAATTGGAGAGGGCATCTGGGCTGTTTTTGTTTTTGTTTTTCTTTATCTTTGCCTTCTTTCTTTTCTTCTTCAGATCTCAGATTTGAGGTCCTATTTATGTATCTCTATCACACCAAATTCTTATTTACTATATTTAGCAACCAATTCTATGAAGTCATAGTAAATGCAATTTTTAAAGAGTATTTGTTCAAAGGATTTTAAAACTATGGAAAAGCTAAGTAAAAGGCTAACACTGTTATTGTCCCCTTTCCTTCTAAAAAACCCCAACACAGTGTATCCTTCAAACCTGGAAAGAAGAGTTAGTACACAACAGTACTGCAGCTCCAGGACCCGCCAAACTCTCCAGGGGCCTGGTGCTTGCTACTTGACCTTGGTGTCTTGTGCCAGCCTTAGCGAGTCTTTCTCTCATTTTATTTTAAAGGACTTGGGTTTCAGGTCCTAACAAAGTATTGATTAGGTGGGTGTGTAGAGTTTTTCCGAAATAGTTTGTTCTTCCAGATAATTATTTAGGGAGCAATGGAGCATGGGCTTGGGGGAAGCTGAGAGGAGCTGGAAAGAGAGAGCACCCTTAGGTGACTGTCAGGTGGCTGGGAACGAGGAGCTGGGACCAGGACTTGAGGAAACCAGGGCAAGAACTGTGGCCCGTGATTGCGCATCTCTCGGCCCTTCTTCCTTCTCCCAGAGCTGAGTTTGCCAGAGGACTGAGCTGCCAGAGGACAGGGGACGCTTTGCTACCCATGTTCTTGGTGGGGAGGAGGTGGGATTCTCAGCATGAGCTTCTCAGCAGTGCCTGGGAGGACATGGACTGACCACTGCAGTCACGTGATCCTTCTGTGCCTTGCTGAACTCTTCAGAGCAGATTCTGTTGTACGATCTTACAGGGTTGGGCTACATGAAAGAGTGGTTCTTATGGAGCAACAGGAGGACACAAGAGGAGTCATTGCCTCCAGGCTAAAACCTGCCCACAGCAGGGAATTTTCCCACCTGCTGCTGAAGCTGGTGACTTCCCCTGAAGAGAGTCCATGGGACAAGGAATTCAGAGGGCTGTCACAGTGCGCATTTCTGAATGGTCAAGCTAGAGTGAAACAGCTGCATTGTTTATTCATGGCTCAGAGGCAATTCTTGTGTAAAGTTTCTGAATGACCCATGATTTAGTTGATAAAGCATTTAAAATTCATTACATAACGGAAAACATCCATATACAACCTTCCATGCACAACATCTCCCCTCCCAAGCGAACACCCTTCGTTGGAGAGTCCTCTGCTTCGTTGGTGGACTGGCGGAAGGAGTCAGTACCCTCTTAAGGAAGTGTGTTAGTGGTGGTGTGTTCTTTACGGGACATTGGAGATCTGAATGAATAAATTCAAGAAACACGACAACATGGCTCAGTCTTTATTATTCAGGGATCAGAGGGCCGTTGCCCATTCTGTCTCCTAAGCATACCCAAGAAAATTTCCCTGGCAGAAAAAAAAAAAAAGACTACAATGTAAACCTCTGTGGTCTTATAATCTTGTGCTGGTGCCACTATAGCAATTTTATTTGCATGAGGCAGAATGTTAAAAATTCAGGTTGTAAATGAGGGAGCGGATTCCTGGGAGCTGAAGTGCTTTTGGTCTGTGTGCAGGGATGGGTTTTCTTCCTCCTTCTCCTCCTCTGTGTCTTCTTCTCCTTCCTCTCCCTCTCCTCCTTGTCCTTGTCCTTCTCCCCTCACCCACCTCTCCCCTCCACCTCGCTTCCGCCCAAGTCACGCCCTACGCCCCAAAGCTGTGGTGTTTTAATAAAAAACAGCCCTTTCGTTGCCTCGCCTGAGAATCTCGATCAAGAGCACACCCGTCCCGCTACCCTGGAAGCAGCCTTGCTCCCCACAGGACCATAGGCCTCATTACCTAGAGAGGAGAAAGCACCGTCCTTGGACTAGTTTCCTGCCATGCGAGATTTCCCTACAGTGTCACCTGGTCCCGGGGAAACATCTTAGGATTTCATTCCACTAGTTAGATTTACCTAGCTTAGATGGTTTTTGAAATGAAAATAAAGATTAACCAGATATCATAAGGTCAGTGAGTGTAAAACCACAATCGCAGTAGAAATCTAAAATTAGACATGAAAAAGTAAATGTTTTTGAAATTGAAATCATCAGTTTGAGGATCAAAGCAAAAAAATATTCAATTATAGTTAATTTTTTGCACCTTAGATGTTTATTGTGGTAAAATATACATAATTATAAAATGTATCATTCTGCCTTTTGGGAGGGGCAGTACCAAGGATTGAATCTAGAGCCACACGGAACTACACATCTCCAGCTCTTTGTATTTTGAGACAGGGTCTTAGTAAGTTGTTAGACTGCCCAGGTTGGACTTGAGCTTGCATCCTCCCGCCTCAGCCTCCCACGGTACTAGGATTACAGGCAGTACCACTACGCCCAGCTTCATTTTGACTACTTTTCGGTGTACCGTTCAGTGGCACTAAAGGCACTCACATTACTGTGTAACCAACGTCCCACTCACCTCAAGGACTCCTTCATCTCCCCGCACTGTCACTCTGCACCTGTGAAACCCTAACTTCGTGCTCTCCTCCCTTCAGCCCTTGGAATCGGGTATTTGACTTTCTGCCTCCATACATCCGGCTATTTCAGGTACTTCCTATATTTCAGGTACTTCCTATAAGTGGAGTATGGAGGACAAACAAAGCTACTCTCTGCTTGCGTTTCCTCACCTCCTCAGCTCTTTCCCAGACCTTCCTTGGCTCCTCGAGTGCCCTGTCGCAGTCAGGCGCACCCTTGGCTGTTGCATTCTGCAAACTTTTCCCTCTCGGTTTCCGGTCCTCACTCCCCTTGCTCTTTGTGTCCCCAGTCTTGAGCATACGGGGCGCTCAGGAGGAGGAGCCCACGGACCCGCAGCTCATGCGCCTGGACAACATGCTGCTGGCGGAGGGCGTGGCCGGGCCGGAGAAGGGCGGGGG